GAAACAGCGACCTCCAAACCAAGTCCAACCAGCAGGGCAGGAAGGAGCTGCAGCATGATCGCAAAGTTAAAAGGTCAATAATCAAATTAAAAATTCCTCAAAAGAAAAAATAACTCCTGAAACTTCACCATGAACTTCAGCTTAGAAAAGATTTAATAAGAAACACACATTTATTTATGTGTTAATTTTGTAACTGACTCACTGCAGCAGTGAATCTTTAGTGTGACACTGAGTGTAATTAATGTTAAATAATAATTTACTTTAGTTAATGTTCTAATTTTACAGCAGAAGCCTCCACAGCGGGACAGAGATTCACATGTTTGTGTGATTTTGCATGTTTCACTTTTAACTTCCACTGATCACATCTGGGTCTTTAAAGCTGCAGAGCGTGAATGTTGACCCCCCATGATCCTCCGGTGGGTCCTGTTTAAGGTCGAGGTTTAAGTCTAACAGTGAGTGTGCTTTTACCATCAGGGACCTTTGACTGTGGAATGACCTGCCTGAGGAGAACAGGCTCCAACAATCACAAACCTCCTTTAAATTACTTAAAGCACATTTTAGAGAAAACAGGCTCCTAGCACAACCTGGGTCTCGAATGTAGTCGAGAGGAGACCGGGCACTTGCAACCGTGGCACCCAGACTCCAGAATAACCTCCCTGTTCATGTTCGTACTGCCGAGTCTATCACGTCTTAAAACTTATCTTTTTACTTTGGCTTTTGATTCTAACCAGTTGGCTGTTCGAGCTTGTTGTGTTGTTACCTATTGTTTGTTTTAATTCTCTCCTGCTTTTACTGACTGTGAAACACTATTGTTGTTTGAATATGTGCTGTATAAATAAAATTTGATTTGAATTGAATAGTGCTTCAGCAACTACAGACACATTTAGAGATAAACAGTATCAGTGATGAATTCCAGTCTGGATTTAAACCGCGTCACAGCACCCAAACTGCCCTACTAGGAGATTTCAACGACCTCCTTCTAATCGCTGACTCTGGGCGCTCTGCGGTCTTACTTCTATTAGATCTGACGTCACCTTTGACATGGTCGATCATGATATTCTTTTGGCAAGGTTAGAACATGTAGTTGGCCTTACAGGAAATGTTCTTTCATGGTTTAAACCATATCTTTCAGAGAAGTCCTTCTCTGTCACAGTGGGTAAACATTCCTCTTCTTCTGCCCCTCTTCGCTGTGGTGTGCCCCAGGGCTCGGTGCTGGGTCCCGTGTTGTTCTCTCTGTACATGCTGCCCCTGGGCTCCATTTTTGAAAAACATAATGTCTCTTTTCATTGCTGTGCTGATGATATTCAAATCTACCTCCACTTGACTGGGGATGTCTCATCTTCACTACATCCTCTGTGGGGATGTCAAAGACTGGTTACTATGTGACTCTCTTCCCTTAAATGAAAAGAAGACGGAATTATTGTTTTTGATAGAAATATGCTTCTGGGACAACTGACTGGCACACTGGGGCCTGTTGCTAACCGCTTCACTGATGCTGTTAGGAATCTTGGAGTTTTCTTGGATACTTCCTTCAAACTGGATCAACAGGTGTCCACTGTGGTAAAAAGTCGCTTCCATCAACTGCGCCAAATTTCTAAAGCTAAACATATTTTTACTGCAGGAAACGTACAAAGACATAGAAGCTGTGTTCTCACCACACTGAAGGTTTGCCTGAGATCCTTCACATATTACACTTTGGCCTGAAACAGACACAGATCCCATAGAAACTGTAATCATTCATGTACAGATTGGGTTCAAGAAGAAAGCAGTCCATGCAGTTGTTTTAAATAGTTAGTAATGTATAAGTAACGCAACGTGAAATGAAGTCTCGGTTTTGTCAGATAACGTCTGATTTTTTTTAATCGTCTTTATTTCAGATCGAAGAAGGACACCAAGGTGCTAATTGAAGATACTGACGATGAGGCCTTCAGCTGAGTCCACAGCATCGGCACACGCACGCACACAAACACACACTTTACGACACTGTACTTATAAAGACCTCGTTCGCTAACGCCTGACCTCAAAGCTCCTCCCTCGTAGTGTTAACGCGCAGGCCTACCCTTCAGTCTCGAAACCTTTAAAGCAGTGAGGACCATCAGTCACTGTCCTCACCTCTGGGAAACTTACCTCATCTTTACGTCCTTGTAAGTACAGTTGGTCTTTATAAGTATGGAAACAACACACACACACCTATAATGTAGAAACACACACAGAGATAGACCCGCTGAAGCACAAGTATAGTATAATATCGCTGCAGGTGAGGAGAGAGCTAATGCCACCCAGACAAACAGCCACACAGTCAGACAGATGGACAGACATCAAGGGAATCCTTCTGCACATAACCGGCGAGATAAGACCGCACTGCCCGGGGATTATCCTCTTCTGTTTTTTAAACGGACTTTTTTTAATATCTGTTGTTTACTTTTCTGTAGATTCTTCTTTTATTTCCTGAATTTGTTTAGAAGACGCAGCATAAAATAGGCTACCGACGACTGTTTGCACACCTACACTAGGATCAACAGGGAGAAGACAAAGCCAATCAAAAGACTAACAAACACAAACCTGAGGAAGGACTCTGCACGCATATCACAGCATATCAGAACAAATCAACTGGTTTCAGCTTGTTGATTCTTTTTATACACCATCTCTCTCTCTCCTTGTTTTTTTTTTAATTTTTAATATTTTTTAGTTGTAATAACATCAGTGTGCAATCACAACCCTGGAGGCACTTGCAGGAAAAGTGCATTTATTACACAAAATCTTGTACTTGTACACAAAAAGGGAAATTTTGATTCAAACATTTCTAAGTCTGTGAAGTTCCTTTGTAATATTTGATGTGCATTATGACTCTGTTGTAGTTGTTAAGTCCTTTTACATTGTTGTTTATACTAGTCAGACTAGTTGGAGCATCTGATTGTCGATGTGTTTTATAATGTTTGGAATGTTTTTCATGGTTGAACTTGTGCCACATTTTTAACGAGCTCAGAGTTAGGACCCTCGGTTATCCCCGACCTCTAATTAGTGCGTGAACGTGCCCTGTTAACTGCAGCAAATGTACATGCGTTGCTTTTCTTTACATTAATTACCAAAGTTTTATTTTTTATGAATGTGACTGTGGCTGGGGTAGCTTCCTTTAACAAGCCTGCAAACTGATATAAAAACCAAACGTTTAAAAGCAGATTGAAGTTTGCAGGCTGGAGATCACAGTAACATAAGCAGAGGTACAGCTGATCAGCTCGGTCCTGTTCCAGAAAGCAGGTTCAACAAATTCTAGGTTTTCGGCTCCAGAACAAGCTGATCGGAGTTGCTTCAAATCAACTCTGAGTGTGAGGAAACTAAGCCGTTATCAGTGCAGCGCTCATCAGCCAATAATGGGTTTGACTGTGGGCTACGGCATTTAGCATAAAAGTAAATGAAAAACAAAGTCAGCATTGTCCACTCAGTCATTCTTTACTTAAACTGAATCCAACCAAAATATATCTGCGTTTGGCACAATTACAGTAGAAAATAAATTATCTGTAGACATCTATTGAATTCAATTCAATTGAATTCATCCAGATACTCCGGATGTGTCCTGATTCTCAAACTTATTTTAAAATGCTTTCAGAACCTGAAAGTCGCTGAAGATGCTGAAATCTTCCTGTCATCTCCAACGTGAAAGCTAATGAAAGTGATTACTACAGTAGTGCGCACTGTCAGGCATCAGTGCAGGGCATCTCATGGACAACCTGACAGATTCCTGACTGCCCACAGAGCTAGAAGGATGTATCCTATAGAGCAGAGCCGGTAATAAATCCGTGGTATGCCGTGGTCGCTGACTCTGCTGTTACACTGATGACAGATTTATTATGAAAGCAGCCACGTTAGCCATCATAAACAACAAGCTAACATATAAATGGGATTGGACTGTTTGTAAGGACCAGCTTCTGTCCCCCTTGGTGCTTTAAGACTGACTGCACGAATGAGAAAACCTTAAAAGTTGTTTAAAGGAAATCTGTCAGTGAGCAGTTTACTTATAGAGAGTCTGTTGCCCCGGTAACTGACCCGATGTTTAGATTAATCCCGTCTCTAAAACATCAAATCCAGAGTTTTCACTCCAGTTTTCACTAAACCTGCTCTCTGGAACGTAAACCGTGGAGCACTTTTAGATTTCAGTGAGCTCAGTGAGTCCCGTCAGTTTTAAAACCGATGGATCATGTCTTTGCATCTTGTCTTAATATGATTGCATTGGTTCTCCGGACCATGTTAGTCTTGAGTAATGGTTGAAAATTAGGCGACTGGGATTCTTTATGTTGATGAAGATGTTTCGCCTCCCATCCAAAATAACAGAATTCCTGTGATTACTGACGGCGGTGTTGCCAGATTTGGTGGTTTTCCATCCAGCGGCAGGTAAACGGTCGTTTCGTTCGGGCAATAAAATCCATAATGATTAATAACAAAAACAAAACTGGGCTACATGTAAGGCCATCAGGGGACTTGGCAGTGGTCGAACACTTAATAAGCTCGTTCTCAGCTCTTTAACAATGAAGCTTTCGGCTTCATGTGGCTTTATTTCCCGAGGGACGCCGCAGCGGATGGATCTGCATGCTTGATTTGGTGCAGATTTTACACCGGATGCTCTTTCTGCTGCAATCGCTCTTGCTTGGGATGATGTTAGAAGCCCTCTGTGATCCCGCTCTCTTCCCGAGCTTAAACCCGAGCCCTTCGCATCTAAGGCTGTAACAACAGTAACCATGGTTACAGATCATGCCAGATCCACAGATCGTGGATAATGCGCATTATCCACGATCTGTGACAATTTCGTGCCACGAGAACAATCAGGTGTCTTTGCTTCTGTAACACACACTTGAGCTTAAGCGTTGCTTCACTTATCTCAGCTGTTACTGTTACATTTTGAAGTAAGTGCGCCGCGTGTCTGGCCAATGCTATTACCAGCTACTGGTTTAAGTTTCGAGCTTCTCCTGTGAAAGGCCCCCTGGCTGTCCGAGAAACGATGGCGACGCTTTAACGCTGGCGTCTACGTGTGCGTGTTTGACCCTCTCGCTCTGCTGTTCCTCCCACCGCGGTAAAGTGAGCCGTCATTTGTGAGCCGCGGTCAAGCCAGCCGCCTCCTATCCGCCGCATAAATTTCCTTGCGCTTTTACACCAGTCTTTAC